GGACCTGAGCATCCGTTGATGGCATGGAGCTATGTGCATGCAAGTTACATCCTGAACAGGTTCGGTGTGCATGGCGGGGCAACCGCCTTCGAGCGCTGCACGGGGACCGGTTTTCGGGTAAGTTAGGCATGTTCGGGGGAGCCCGTTTGGGGTTTTAGGCGAGGAAAGGCCAAGGGTGATCGTAAGTGGCACCGAGCAGTGTTCTTGACCAAAACCACCAGCAGTGACATGCATGTCCTGATGAGTGCGCAGGGAGTGTGGACCACCCGGTCCATTCGCCGAAACGCCAAGCCTTGCGTTGAGGAAAAGAATCTGGTAAGGGTTCCCCTGGAACTACCAGGGGTTTTAGGTAGTAAGACCTTTCCCCAACCTAAGCACCGCGTGGCAAAGCCTGCCGAAACCTGTGTTCGAGCAGAGTGCATCAGTTGAGCCAATGCCAGATGCACCACAAGCGTCAGATATGCCCAGCATGGCGGGGGTGCCAGCCTTGAATCCTGTGCCAGCTTCAGTGCGCGAGAGCGCTCCAGCTTCTCGGAAGACCCTCTTGCTTGATCACAAATCGTATTGCCAGAGCTTCCACGTCCAGCAAATGCATCCCCCATGCATGTTGCCGGCTCTGACCCGAGCTCCTCATCTTCATCGTCCAGTCCATCCTCGCCTGAAGGGTCTGCCAAACCAACCGGAGTGCTGAGGCGCCTGAAGGACAGGCGCACAAGTACCAGCGAGTGGCCCGGATCGGTGCCAGCGAGCACCCGATCAATGACGAGCTTCTTGAGTCAGCCCCTGGATGCTGCTGTGTATGTGGACATGAGCGATGAAGTCGATGCAGAATGGGATGTTCACAAGAAAGATGATGTAGAAGCCCTGAACAGCGAGGCAAGACTGTGGTTCGATGAAATTCCTGATCTGTCCGAGCAGGATTTGAGCCAGCTGACTTCCTTGCAGACGGCTTTGAGGTGGAGCGGCTGAAGAGAATGAAGGTGATCGAAGAAGTCGCCCCAGACTTCGACACCTCAGATCACAAGGAGCTTTCCTCCAAGTTCGTTCGCGCCTGGCGGAAGAAGAAGCGCTGTGGCCGTCAGATGTTCTTCAGAAGAAGCAGACTAGTGGCTAGGGAATACCGGTGGTTGGAAAGGGATAAAGAAGGTTTGTATGCACCTGCTACTTCCTCAATCACCACGAAAGTGCTCCCGTGGCTTTACTGCGAGCTGAAGCGCCGAAGAGACGAGTCCGGTGCTTGCGACTACGAAAGCCAGGTGGGAATCCTGGCGTTGGACATCAAGGATGCTTTCTTGTGCGTCCGTTGGCCAAGCTTCCAGGCTTCGAAGGCACCAAGATGCGATTCCTTCGCATGATCCCTGGCCAGAGGGATGGAACAGCAAGGTGGCATGGGTTCATCATGAAGTACATAGGCGAGAGACACAAGCTTGTAGCGTGCGCTGAATGCCCTTCAGTGTACAAGATTCTTGACAGCGCCGGCCGTAGCAACCCGGGAGTGATCCATGTGGATGACTTGTGCCTTGTTGGCTTTGTCAAATGGCTGAAGGAACAACTTCTGCCGAGCATCGAAGAAAATTTCGAGGTCATATGAGCTTGCAATGAATCCCGGTGACAACTTCAAGTTCCTCAAGCGTGAACATGTGTTGCTTGAAGATGGAGTGCTTGTGAAGCCACTTGCCGACCATGCTGTCAACATGTGCCAGTTGCTGGAGGTCCGGTCATTTAGGAAGGTGCCCGCGCCTAGTGTCAAAGAGTTGCTTGTGCCCGACGATTCCAAAGTGTTGTCCTTTGACAAAGCAGCACAGTTCAGGAGTGCTGTGGGAATCGCAATGTACGTTTCGCAGGACAGAGCAGACATCGCGTTCACTGTGCGTGTGTTGTCCCAACGATCGAAGAATCCCACCGAGAAGAGCTGGGCCGCTGCACAAAGATTGGCCAGCTACTTGGATTGCACGGGCAACTATGCGAGCAATGAAGTGTGTTGCGATGCAGATTGGTCGGGAAACAAGCAGAACAGACGGTCAATGAGCAGTGGTGCCTACCTACTCAACACTTGTTGTGTGCATACGTCGTGTCGCAGCCAGCGATGCGCCAGCTTGTCCAGCACAGAATCCGAGTTTTACGCTTTGGTTTCCGCAGCAGAGTTCCTACTGCAGCAAGGGGTAATGCTAATTATGCGAACAGACAACCAATCTTGCAGACAGATAGCCTTGTAGCGTGGAGTGTCAAAAGTGAGACATTTGGACGGGCGTTTTTTGTGGGTGCAGGAAAAGGTCAGTGATGGCACGCTCCAAGTGAAATCCGTCGATGGCCGGAGGAACCCTGGAGATCTAGGAACCAAGGTTCCGGCAAGTGGAACCAGGCTGAAAGCCCTGCTGCGCATGCATGACTTTGTGGAGTGCATAGGTGACAATGTGGTGCCAGTGGGAGAGGACGAGCGCAATGCCCTTGTTCGAACAGTGGACAATGGCATGGAAACTGCACGTGTGCGAAGGCTGGTGTGCAAAACCTTGAAGACGAATGGGTTCAGCAACAGCTTGAATAGTGCAATGATGGTCATGTTGCTCAGTCTTGTTTCCGGTGCCGAAGCAGCTACAAGAGTGAGTGTGGGAATCCAAGCTGAGATGATGGGTGGTGGAATCCGACATGTGTGGATCGTTGCATTTGGGGTTTGTGTGGCGTTGCTACTCACACTTGTGAGCCTTGAGCGGCTACGGAGCCGGTGTGATGGCTGTGCTAGTGAGAACTTCGAAACAAAAAACAACATGTGCGGTCCCTCTTGATCTGAGCATCACCACTATGACGACTTCGAGCATTGATGTGCCCGAACACGAGACTACATGGGCCGAGTTCTTCAAGCTGAATATCTTGTGGATAATGCTCATGATGTATCTTGGATATGCCCAGTGGATGCTGCAGCGAGCAAATCAGGAGACTGAGAAATGCTCCTCTTGGAGATGCCGTGTCGCAGAAAGATGCGTCAACAACAATGAACAGCAATGTGCGTATGCCCATGGAAGTGGCGAGGTTGGCAGCCATTGTGCCAAACAGGGTGGTTGTCACGCCCACTGGAAGATGCTACCGCCATGCATCTTGCCACACCACCAGAGACAGCAATATCCGAACATTGCATCCTTGGGCCGAGTGCCGCAACCGCTTTGGGTGAATGTTTCGACTTGCAACTTCAATCCACACTTATGTTTACCAGCCAGCAGAGCTTGTGCATGGGTGTGTGTTTGACAATCCTGTATTATGCGCCCCGAAAGTGTTGACTGTGGAGCAGTCATAACTCCAAAGGAATGAGCATTCATTCGGATGGTAACTAGGCCATCCCAATCTCAACAACTACGGGTCCCAGTGACCAAGTGTGCAACACATCTCCTGATGTGTCATGGCGTCCGCTTGCATCAGTCAAGCAGTCATGCAGCCTGGCATGACATGCGTAGTTCAGTTTGTAGATGTAGGTGTACAGTTGATACTTGCTTGAGCCCAAGGTCCGTCACAAACGTGCATCATGTTGATGATTGAGGTTGATGCAAACACGTTGCAGCCAAGAGGGCAAGCAGCGTATTTGGGCGGGGTGATCAACATTTTCTCCCGTACCGTGAACCATATTTTGCTTGAACAGAATGTGACTTTTGGACCTTGTAGGAGTAGCGTCTTGAACTGAGATCATGATGCGACATTCAGGCTCAGAATCGAGTTGCAAAAGATCGTGAGTTTGTTCACTTGGCGTACAAGCCGACTGGCTTTGCCAAACTATTGGCAACAATGCGTACCTTTCTTCCATTAGGTCTTTAGCCATTTTCGCAAGACACCTTTCAACCACCAGCATAAAAGGCTTGCGAGCTGCCTTGCGACAATATCGGAAATCTTTCTTCTCAATTCGAGTAAGTACGTTCTGAAGCTCATGAAGGGAGACTTTCCATTTCACTGCAGCCTTGCAGCGGTCTGGAACTAGCAAGAGGAGTATAGCTTGTGTGACCTTCGAATAACTATCCTTAGGAAGCTCGACAGAGATTTCTTATGCCGTCTTAACACCACTGCATGCATCAGATTTATGAACGATGACAAGGCCAAACCGAGCTCATACATTTCTGCACAATCAAATTAGTGCCATCATTATCGCGCGCAGGATAGGCTTTTTTGAGGAAAAAACGAATGAGCTCGTCAACCTGCAAGTCAGCAAGCGCACTAAATCGCCTCAGTCTAGGCTCACCGATGCCCAAAACAGAGACACTCTGAGCTTTGTTGCCCATGGGAAGCAGCCTGGTGAGAGCGAATATCTTCTCGGCAGTCTTCTTCAAATGCATAGACATGCATAGAAAGGGTATACACAAAGCCAAAGATGCTGAGCTACAGGTTTTGGCTGCGTTTTGCGCCTTTCAAAGGCCTTCCAGGAAGCAAACTTTCTTGCGTTGACCTTTCTTTCAAAATCGAATCCACAACTTCTCGTTCTCAAGAACTCAAGACACATAACCGCCTGAACCAGATGTGCACTTTGATTTTTTGTTATGTTGGCCTAGGCAGTTTTCTGAAAGTCATGGCAGCACCTTTGCCTTTTCAGCAGGCCTTTCTTCAACTCAGGCAGCAGCACATATCCATCCCACAGGATCTCAATCAAAAAGCTGTGCGACTTCATTTTTGCGAAGTCTGTGGCCAAGAGGTTCTGGAGTGTATACCATACTAGGCCATGTAATCGGCAACCTCGGTTTGAACAAAAACATCGACCACCAGCCTTTAATGCAGGCCATGTGCCTGTGCTTTTAATGATTGTATGCCAAGTTTGTATCCCTTACCCGCAAGGCTTCGCATTCGTCTGCAGCGTTTCACGCCATCAGGGTGTTGTGTCAACATGTCCTTGTTGATGACTAGGTAACAGGTGAGCAGCCATTGGTTTGGGTAGCAAAGTCACACCGGTGACGGGACTAAAACGGCAACATCGACATCCCGAGCAAGCAGTGTAGGAGGCAGGTTGAGTGGTGCCAATTGTTCAGCTCATGCGCCGCCATTCCGCGAAGGCGAAGCTACTGAAGCGTTTGGCTGGCTGGTTGGGTGTTGTTGCGTTCGTGCCCCTATTGCGGTGGCACGCTCGAAGTTTTGTAAGCTCCAACACCTGCCAGCATCCACCATCACATTTGGCTTGCAATGCATTTTTCCAGGGGGATGGATTTCGTCCAGGTGAAACAATACCTTTCACTCAGAGCAGCACGAACGATGAAGCAAAAGGCCGACGGAAAGGAGGTGTAGACGAAATTGATGAGGATTCGGACATTTTCAATACAGGCGAGTTCAACCCTTACGAAATCCTAGATGTTTCCCCCTTTGACGACATCGGAGCGGATGAGCTGCGTGCTGCCTTCAGGAAGCAAGCCAAAATCTATCATCCTGATGTCCCTGGAACTGGGAGCGCAGAAAAATTCCAGCTAATCAAGCGTGCAGTTGAGGAGCTTGCATCGCTTGGAATGGTTGGGGAGTGGAAGTCGAAAGTTGCAGAGCCCATCAATCGAAAAGAGAGAGGCCAAACCATGTCCGAGGATTATTGGGAATTGCGTGGTCGTGACTTCTTCGCTGAATTGGAGACGGAGTTGACAGATGAACTCAAAATGAGGTTCAATGAGTCCGACAAAGATTTGTCAGATGATCAGCTCCGGGGACGCTATCAGAAGGAGAATGAGTACTGGGAAGAGTTGCGTGCACGTCAAGCAGACCAGGATGTCCTTGACAGGGTGGAGGATTGGATCGAAAAGAAGCGTGAGCAGCGCCGGCTTGCCGTGAGACAACGGCTCAGAGGCGGATCTCCGCCCAAAGAACTCGGCATTCCATCAGAGCCTGCTTCGGCGAAGACTTTACAGATTGTGGAGCATCGCATAGCTCAATGGATAGGTCTTCCTGAAAGCATGCTGACTGACATGACACTGGATGAGATAGGTTTTTTTGACCCTTCAAGTTGGGATGATGTTTCCATCTGTTTAATGTTGTTGGAAGAAGACTTCGATGCCGACCTGGTAAATGTAATGGAAAAGAAAGGTCAAGGTGCAAAGATACAGTTGCCCGACTGGGTTAAAACGATTGCAGACTTTGCTGATTTCGTGGAGCTGAAGCTGTAGCTTCGGCAGTTTCACCAAGAGTTTTCCGAGCCTTTGGTGCTCTCAGACTCCCGCAAGCGCACAGCAAACACAACTGGCCCGGTTGCAATCTGTTTCATACAGGCAGGAAGTTGTTCGTGTCGAACTCAGCCATCCGCATCTTTGCTTACTGAGGGAAGCTTTGGTAGCCCAAGTACAAATGGCCTCAGCCTGAATACACATGCCATTGCGCAGGCCAGTTTTCCAGATTGGGGCCCAGATAACAGCGGGCTGAGCACAATCCACCTGTGGTTTGGCAGGTTTCAAGCCCAGCCCGAAGCACATGTTTCAAGTAGGACAAGCTGGGAATCAGCATAGCACGTAGCGATCAAAGATGAGCGGAACGGGAGGCCGGTGATTAGTCCGTGCACATTCTGTGCTTTCAGCTTTCGCGATTCCTGCCAGTCGTATTGCTGTCGGATTGATCTCACTAGGCCCGCATCTTGGATCGCCTGGCCCAATGATGCCGCTGGCTTGATGTGCTGCTTTGCACTTATGTATACCCTTCTGTTTACGAGCGCTGAGTTTTGTGCGCTGGGTTGGTGAGGAGATACGTGGGATGTTGAGCGAGAGGTGTTGCTTTGTGGCTTTGTGCGCTGTTGCCCTCAAGGCCACCACCAGGCATGGCCGGGCCTCAGTACCATGGCATGATGCCCCCTGGGTATCCTGGCATGGGCTACCCAGGCTCTCTTCGTTCAACGCCACTTACAGCCGCTTTGGGGTGGCATGCGGGTTTGCACGATGGCCTGCCAGGCATGCCGCACGGAATGCCACCTGGTATGCCCCCTGGCATGATGCCTCCGCCTCCAGGGTATCCCATGCCCCCCGGCTATCCAGGACAGTCTCATGGGTCACAATGGGCCACAGCTCCTTGAACAAGTTGCAGCTGAGCTTATCCGATCTTCAGGACCATACGGCATGTCACATCCAAAGGCCGGGCATCACATCACATGGCCCGTGCAGCATCCAATGATGTGCAAAGCGACAAGCGGTACTGTCCACCCGGGATCACCCGGGCATGGCTTTCTAGAGCAGGAAAAGAAAGACAAGAAGAAGGACAAAGACAAGCCCGTCGCTCAGTATCACCGGTCTCTGGGCAACAGTTGCATCGCGGCCAACATATTCGCTGCATGCGACAGGAAGAAAAAGAAACGCGAGCGCGGCAGCAGCTCAAGCAGCAACGGCCCCAATGGAACTTGATCGGACGAAACAGCTCTTACAGCTGTGGCTTGCTAGCACCATTTGTTCTTGCAGGCTCTCATCTGTAGCATGGTTTCTCGTCGCCCTCAGAAGTAGGGGGGGCAGTTCCGAACGAGTGCCTGGTTCCGTGTAGGTGCGGCACTTGCAAGTGATCTTTGGAACATGTTAGCTCTGGCTTTGGAGAGCATGGCCTGTCGGTGGACGGCTCGAGGGGACACTCTCCACTTCTTTGTTGAGGCTTAGGAAGCCAGGGATGGGTTTTGTTAGGCATGACAGATTGCATTGCCATGTTCTTTCAAGGTGAGAGGCGAAGTAGCAGCAGTGGCGACAAGAAGAAGAGGAGGAAGAAGGCAGAACAAGATGTGAATGTCACATGTGGGACTGAACTCCATACCTAAGCTTTTTGCATTGAGCCTGTTGATTGAGCTTGCGAATGTTCTTGAGAGGGCAGAGAATGAGCTGGATTTGATGTGCTGCTGGAGAATACTGTATTACTGCCTGAAGTGATGTGCTCATTGAATGTATCTTGTACCATCCCACGTGCATCGCCACCAAATTCTTCCTGCCTGTCTCATATGTCGCTGCAGGACAAGGACAAGAAAGTGAGAAGAAGGACTCAGAAGGTTCTTGTGGAAACAGTTGGCTTGTTGCACACGTGAATAGCTGCTGGGATGTTCAAGGGCTTCATGTGTGACTGTGACCACATTTCATTGTGAAGGGGCATGGAATATGCGGAGAGATAGTAGACGAAAACGACAAAATCCGCCTTTGTTCAGATTTTTGTTCTCGCACCACCCTCAGCGGATGAGGTGAAAGGGATCCTAATCAGCACTTCTACCCCTTGATGCTTGAACATCACATGTGCGAAAAATGTTGATGCTGATGGCACTGTCCATATCTGCCTACCACATCTGTCAGCGCTGAACACGCCGAATAAACATAAAGCAAAACGAGGAAGCACAAGACACTAGCAAGAACACAGCAAGGCGTTTCCTCGGGCGCTGGATATGAGTTCAGCGGCAGTATGTCGTGATAGCATATCATTTTGTGCTTCGGAGTGCTGGCATCGGAGGAGCCCCAGCGGTGCTCTCGATGATTCAGAAACTGCAGCAGCTTGCTTGCGATACTTTGAGAGAGAGCGAAAAGCAGATTGAAGCGAAAAGTGCGCGAATGCGATCGTTGTTGCTTTCGGTCCTCTGATTGTGCTTCTGTGCTTTTCCAGGCACGTGCCCAAGCTGCTTTGCGGGCCGCAGCAGCAGCAGCTGCCGTGGCTGGTGCACGCAGGCGCTGAGCCCAGCAGCGAGTGATGCGCCGAAGCATCGCATGGCCATTGAGAGGGAGCTTGACTGTGGTGGGAGGCGGAGTGCTTCACCTCTTGCTGGCGAAGAGCTATCAGGCATTGGCTCCTGGCTTTGTTTCAAAACATGGCAACGATCAGAAGAAATAGAACTGTTGCAGTAGAGCCTGCATTTGCCTGGACAGGGTCTCGTGCCAAAGAGCTGCCGGAAGTGCACCAGGTGGCACACATATCATTGCCTATATAGCCTACAGCAGCTTCAAGAGTCCAGGAAGAAGAGCACGAGGACCAGGCGGATACACAGGTTTTTGGTCTTGAGATTTTCATGCAAGTTATGTAGCTTTTCATGTTGCTCTTATGTAGCTGTGAGATGTGTAAACGTGTGGAAAGTGGATGGAAAACCCCGGCGACTGAAACTTTCGCTCTTTCGCTCTTTCGCTCTCCTTAGAGAAGGACGGCCGAAGCAGAGAGCGTTTTTGTGAGGTTCTTCGCCACTGTTTTCTCTGAAAAGAGAACTGAATCGAGAAGCTGAGTGATTTTTACACCTTTTTTGCTATCAGCAAGCAGCAGTGCACAAGTGCAGCAGTGCTATTTCGCAGAAGATGCAATCTGTGAAGCCGTGACATCGTGATGAAGGCCCCAAGTGTACCGCACCAAAACCAAGCCGACAAATGCGCCTCATGCCTCCTGCAGTTCACCTGCAGATGCACTCAGGCTTTCCGTGCTTTGATAGTGTGTGTGTGTGTGTGTGTGCGTGCTAGTTGCCCATATTCCACTGCGTTCACGTATCTGCCTGCTGACCAGGATATGGCGAATCGGGCTCGTGGCTTTATGAGGCAAGATGTGCAGGATTCAGGATCTGCATCATTAGGCTGTGCAACTGCCGTGTCATTTGCTTTGGGGCATGGCTAGCCGTGTATCATCGTGTATCACCGCGCGTCAACCTCTAGGACTCTAGGGTTCTAGGCTTCTAGGTGTTGGCCAGGCCTGAGAAGATCGAGATTCTCCAACTCCCGAAGTCCGTCATTGGCAGAGTCATTGGAAAGGCGCAGCTCGCCCTGCTGCCGTCTTCTTCTCAGCCTGTATTGATGTGCAGGCCGGGACGACAATCAAAGACATCCGCGAGCGCACAGGCGACAAGTCTTTGCAACGATCTCCCAAGACCTGTTAAAATCATTTGCCAGTCCAGAGATACTCCTTGAGTGTGTTCGAACTTGCCTCGGAAAAGGTGCTCGCATAGATGCACGTGACCAAACAGAGGATCCTGTTCAGGTGGCGGCCGCGGTTTCCCATGCTTTTTTGCAGCGCAAAACACCTGCAGGTACTCCTAAGCGGGACGCTGGAATCCTGCGAGCATGCCAAGGAGCGTGACTAGACTACCCGTAGTGTGAATAGTCTTTGTGGACTTGTGGGAAGTGTGCACGTGGGCTGTGCCTTTTGGATGATCATCAGATTCACCGGAATGATTATATGATGAAAGGTGTGAAGAGAACACTCTTTTTATATTGGAATACAAATGAACGCAACATGTGAAGTGAATCCGTGAATACAATAGTAAAGAGTGAGAACGAAACGGGGGATTTAACAGATAACCGTCTATAACCATGAATTATTGACCATTGACTGCCAAGGACCAAATCATCCAAGAAGCATTCTATCTTTCTTGGGGGTTTCTTTTAAGGGGCTTTTATTATGGCAGCCGTCGAAAAACCAGACGGACCTGAGTCGAACACGTGATTGACCCTCGCCAGAAACGTGAGTCGAAAACACCCTGAACTCCTGCCAAAAAATCCGAAGGCTACTTCTCTCCCATGCGTTTCGAGGGTTTAGGAGTTTTGTGGGGTTTTCCGGGATTTTGGGGTTTAGCGTTTCGGGATTAGGGGCTTTTAGGGATTAGGGTCAAGGGTTCAGGGTTTAGGGGCTTTTAGGGTTTGGGGTTTAAGGTTTTTCAGGGTATAGGGTTGTTGGGTTCAGACTTTAGGGGTTTTTAGGGTTTAGGGTTTTTGCGGTTTAGGGCAAGGGTTTTTAGGCTTAGGGGAGGGTTTACGGCTTTTTGGGGTTTAGGCTTTGGGCGTTGCGTTTCGGGTATTTTAGGGTTTAGGTTTTAGGGTTTTCGGGTTTCGGGCTTAGGGTTTTTTAGGGCTTAGGGGCTTGGGGCTTTTAGGCATAGGGACCTCTCTGAAAGGGATCGGGGTGTATCGCGCCTTGAAAAGAGGAGGGGGTTGGGGGAGGTGAAGCCTCCCCATTTGCAAACACAACACACGCATGATGGGATCGAAGAAAGAACAAGTGCGGCGGGGTTGGGGCGCGCCCCATTTGCAAACATAACGCTCGCATGATGGGAAAAAATTATCCCTGAAACAAGCTTGCACGGCTGAACAATCGGGAGGCTTGGGAGGGAGCGCAGTGTCCCCCCCCCCTGCAAACACAAAGCTCGGATGATGGGTTCGACAAAGATTCATGTGTGCTTTCGAAGCAAGCTTGCACGGCTTGAAAAAAACAGATCTATTGAGGTTTAGGGTTTAGGGCTATGTTGGGTTTAGGGTTAGGGCTTGCTGGTTTTTAGGGTTTCGGGTTTTCGGGGTTTCGAGTTTAGAGGTTGTTCGCGTGCACGGATTCTCGCTTTAGGGTTTTGGGGTGGTAGGGTTTAGGGGGCTTGCTCTTTAGGGATTAGGGCTGTTGGTTTTGTTGAGGTTTCAGGTTGAGAGTGACGTTTAAGCTTCGGGTATCTGAGGGTTCAGGATTTGGGGGTTTCAGCGTGCGGGGCTAGGGTTTTCGGGATTTAGGGCTGTTTTGACGGTTTAGGGTCTAGGGCCTTTTTTGAGGGCTTCGGGTGTACAGGTTTTTGGGGTTTATGGTTTAGGTGTTTGTGGTGTTTAGCGTTTAGGGGTCTTCAGGGTTTAGGGTTTAGGGTACGGGGGGCAACCGAAGGGGGACAGGGAACAAAACAGTCAACCCCAACAGAAGCCCTTGATCCCCTGGACCAACCAGCACCAAACCAACACACACTTCTTTCTTCAGGGCGCATGCCCAAGTTCTTGAGCCAAAAGATTAGCGGGTGCATTGACCCTTCAACTTTCAATACCAACTCCTTTCTACAATACCAACTGCAGCTCCGCACTCCCCCTGTCCTAGGATGTCCTAGGACACACATTGGAGGTGCAGACCTTTGGCCAAAAACCGCCATTTAGGCAGCAGCCAGCTGCTTGAAATGCACATTATGGTTTTACGTCATCCAGGACGAACCTTCAGCTCATTGGCCGAATCCCTTACCATTGAGGATTTCTTCACCTCGCACTTGAAAAAGTTTACGTTCCAGCGGCCCGTTCCTCACCAAGGAACTCAGCATTCACCACCCAGCCATCCTTGAGGCAATGCTTACAAAGCGTCTTAGCCCTGGGCTGTGAATATCGCAGAACATCACAGTCACTGCTTGCGTGCATACAGTTCCCACCCACTGTTGTATACAAAGTGGCACTCGCAGGAATAACCACCACTTTCTTGATCCACAGCCATTTATACAGCCGCCGAAAGAGGCACCATGCCAATTCCCAGAGTATAATTGCTGCCACCAAATACGCAACAAGGTCTGAATTGTTGATAACCATTTCAATACTTTGAGCCAGAACCATAACCGTAGATGTGTTGGCGACCTTGCACACCCCTTCTTCTGAGCAAAAGAAACCAGCAGTTGACACTTCTTCTCCACCAGTTGCCATCCCTTGCAAGGATGCAGCCACCATCATGACCGCCATTGCAAGAGAGGCCCTTTTCAAGTCAGTTCCTTGCACCAACAGTTGGAGACCCCAAAGTGCCTTTTGCTTTGCATAAACCTGTCCACTCATCAATTTTGTCAACAGATCAGCAATCATATACTCACCGCGAAGATGCGCTATCACCATGTAACCACGGTCCACCAGAGACCTGACACCGGCTGCTCGAATTCTCAGGTGTCTTGTCCTCCAGCTTCCAGCAGGATATTGAATGATTGAGCACGTCGAAACCGAATCTGTATACAGCACTTTTTGCAGCGATTCTTCACCTGTTCCAACCAAAGCGGCAATTATAGGGGTGCACGACTGAATCATCGTTGCTCCCTCTATGGACGCATGTAATTCAGCTTCAGCAGTACTTAACGCCACGGTTGATTGTCTCTGTGTTGCCCACATCACTGGACAATCACCCCAAACCACCACCGCTCCTGAGTGGCTCTTTTCGTTTTCACCTGCTGCAAAGCTGGCATCCGCGTAGGACTCCACCACCTTGACGCCTCGCCCATAACGCAACACCTCATTCCTTTCTTTTTCGCATGTTGCGATTGCTCCAAACGTCAGGCCTAACGTTGGAGTTGCAGCAAGGTATCGAAATACCTCCTCAGCCTTTTTAACCACAAATCGCGGCCTTCGGGATGTCCACAAAGACAACTGGCTTGTGCAGAAAGCCAAATCAGGTCGAGTTTTGATTGCCACCCAGAGGAACTCCCCTACGGCACCTTGAGCCGCTCGCAAGGAAGGAATATCCACCTCCTCTTCTTCACCTGGAGTTTCTTTCACCATTGGCAGGTTACTACCTTTTCCAGTTTCATCAATCTGATACCCTCTTCGGTTCAGCAAATCTCTCACGAAGTCCTCCTGGTTGAGAAAGAAGCTGCCATTTCGATACCAGATTTGGACACCCAAAAACTTCAGGAATCCATCACCACAGCCTGGACCACAGAACTCGGGTTCAGAAGTTTTCCACTCCTTCCTGATCTGTTCCAAGGCTTCCCGGAGCACTGTCATAGTCCCAGCCATCAAAAAGTCATCCACGTAAAGACCCATTGTCCCTACCAACTTGCTTGCACCTTCCGGCTTCTCTTGTGCCATAATAAGGAACAGACTTGGGTCTGCATTGGACCACTGAAAGCTCATTGCTTGTCCATCCTTTGACACCCAAGACATGCCTTGAAGACGTTGGTCTCGCCACTCCACCCATGCTGCAGGACTTTCAGCCAAACCGTACAAGGCCTTCCTCACAATCCACCGCTCCTCTTTTGTGCAAAGACCCAATTTCACCGCCGCCCTTGGGGGCTGCGCCACCACCAGACGCCCTTCTCTTTGCGCCCTATTCATCGGCGCCGTCAGAAAAGCTTTGGAAATGTCTAAGCCAGCGATGATCCACACCATATATGCTGCGTGCCTCACCTGACACCTGAATGTAGTTGAATCTAAACCTGGAGCGTACAGCGAGTGACGACTGAGGGACCTCGGCCCTTCGTATTCTGTAGCTGCCGTTGACGAAATAAAGTTTCCACATGCACAGATACGGGCACGTCTCCTCCCTGTCCCTTGCTTCCGGGTAAACACCACCAGACTGGGAACGTACTCAATCACCGGTGCATTAGGCTCTTCCGCCAATTTGTCCAGCTTTTCTTGAGTGTTGGTTCCACCACCTCCAACTCTTTCACCAAAGACGTCACCTCGTCCGACAATGATTCCCTCCACTTTTCCAGCTCTTGCATGGCTTCTTGTGTAGGGATTGTTTTTGTTTGCAGGAACTCAACCTCCTCTGCTGCCTCAAGCGCAGTATTTTCTTGTACCATTTGCTGAACTTGAGCTGCTTTGACCAAAAACAACGAGAGCTGTTCCTCAGCCCTTTTTGCTTTAACCAGCCATTCTCTAGTCTCTGATCCTTTTTCCTCATTCGACTCATTGGCCGATCCATGGAACTCGTCCAAAATGCAACATTCCTGTTCAGCAATTAGGCGTCGAATACTCAAATGCTCCTCTAGAGCCCATTGAGATGCGCTTCGAACACAGCGTAGTCGACTTCCTCTGCAAGGTCGTCCAGCGAGGTTTCTTTCAGCGTCATTTTTAACCATTTCCTTTTTTCACCTTCTTCAGCTTGTGGTTCCGGAAGAAGATAGCACCTATCCTTGTAGCTCAAACGCTCCATAAAAACAGGTGTGTACCCTGTCAAGAATACCCTGTTCCCTTTCCAAGGCATAGGACCATGCAGTTTTCTCGGAAAGAACGACATGAAGTTCCAGTGGATATCCACCAATTTTCCAGGTAAGACTTTCTTCCCATAGGATTGTTCCACCACTTCAGCTCCTTCCTCCAAAACCTTTTCATCCTCAACCCACAGCTGACCATCTTTATAGTCACCAAAACCACACACATAATTGCAGCAATGTTTTTCATTGTGACTATCCCTATGCAATGACACCGGAGCATTGCACGAGATCTGAAGAGCAGAAAATTTGGCTTCAGGATTGTGGTGCCTCACGAATGATGCCAAATAACGACATAGCCATGGCCTTCGATGGGTCTCTTTTGTAATACCACACACTCCGCCATGAGTATAGTGGCCCAACACCAGAGC